GCATGTTTAAGATCGGCTATCATTTTATGAAGATTGGGTGGTATTCGGTCAAGGATTCTTTGTTATAGTTATTGTTTTATGCTGTCGCAAAACTTATAACTACCGAGCTCCTATTTATGTTTTTCTTGTCTTTTTAAAAATGCACTACTAAAGTGCATAACTCAGAGCATTTTTATATATTTTGCGTTAAATAGTTTTAAGATGATAAATGAACCTAGCAATAAGTTTAATATGAGGAGAGTGGCGAACCGCCGTTATTCAATCCGCGATATTTGTATTATTAAAGGGCATGTTTAGGAATTTATAATACAATTCAGAGCATATTTCTGAACATTTCTCACGGACTGACAACGAGGATATGTGGTGTAAGATTACATTACCTAGAAACCCGTGAAGGTCCGGATTAGAATGGGATTTCGGCAACCCAAGCTTGTCGTAAGAAGTGATCAACGGGATCGAGTAGTCAGGCTCGCTGACTTGGTTGATGCATGTCATAATATCCAAGTGACGTAGATCGATGCTCATAATATCAATCATTGGATTGTCTGTCCAGACCAGGTTGTTATAGACCTCCGTCTTATAGCTGGAATATTCCTGAGTGCAGCGTGAACAAGAAACAAGGACAGATTTTTTAGGAATGTTAGTTTGATGTTCATGGCTTTTAAGCTTACATCAACGTAATCAACTGTTGATCTGACAGTGGCCGGCCAGCTCGCTGACTGGGTTGATAGCGTGGCGACGTACACCGACGTGCACCGACGGCGTGGTTCGTTGCTCCTACTGCGGACGCTGATTGTCTGGTCCAGATTTGATTGTTTACAGACCACCGTCGTGGGGCAGGAGTATTGGTGGACGTGGCGTTGGGCAAAAAACAAACATTTACTTTTTGTAATGGAATGTGGCGGTTGCATTGGGTAGAGTGGGACACTTTTACTATTTTCGACTAGACCTGATGTCATGACTGATTTCGGTGATCCATTCATGCAATTGTCGTCACTGTTTTGCTTTTTATCGAATCTGTTTCGGCAGATATTCGAGACTCGAGACATATTATCAGTATTAGATAGTGATTCATGATATCGTCGTTATCGTAAAATCGACTCTGCTTTTAGTAGAGATTACTGTTGGATTTGGAAAGGGTTTTGTCGCTTTTATTTCCTGGATTTTCAAATGTAACGTACTTAGTCCTTATTCAGCCGTAATAGTGGCGATGCTTTTTAAAGATGAATCTTTAAAGATGAATCCTGTTCTTATAACACAAACATCAAAAAGTAAAAATACCCGTAAAGATTCCTGGGTAGAATAGGTCTTCAGCAAACCATGCTTGCCGTTAAAGGCGACTATGCTTGTCGTAAAAGGCGACTGACGGGATCGGGTGGTCAGGCTCGCTGACTTGGTTGATGCATGTCATCGTATCCCAATTGCGTGGATCGATGCTCATGATATTAATCACTGGATTGTCTGGCCGAGACTCGATTATTTTCAGACCGCCGTCATACAGCTGGAATATTGTTGAGTGCGGCGTTAAACAACAAACCAAACAAACCCTTTAATACGGAACGTCGAGAGGACTGTCTAGTGCTCGTCACGCTGAAGACCCGGTTTTGATTCGTCACACGGGTACAGTGTGTGGAGCCCATGTCCGTGATATTGCTGGAATACTGCTAAAAGCGACATAAAACCATACTCACTCACTCCCGAACGTTGAGCATGGAAATATAAGTACCATCTTTTATCGTCTTTTGCGATGAAGCGGGCGGGGATCGAACCACCGACCTTTCGCTCTATCCGCTAGACACAGACCGCGGTCATATAGCTGGAATATTGCTGAGTTCATCGTAAAACAACCAACCAACCAACCAACCAACCAACCAAACAAAAAGTAAAAAGATAAAAACTTAATATTTAATGTAAATTCACACAGTTGATATGATTCATTTCCAAAACGCCTTAAAACAAACATAAAGTGTACACGTTCATCTTCTATATGAAACTATAATTTTACACCTCTACATAAAAGTATGTCAGTGTCAGTGACGCACAACATTATCAAATATTTCCATAGTTATTTTGTATATAATCCCATAGCAATCATTGTATTTTGTGATAGTATCAGTTAATGATACACAACTATTTCTTTGACAGTGAAAGGCAATTAAATGAAACGTTGTAGATTCCAGAACAATAAATATCATAAGAAAACGGGATTGGAAAATGTAATGTAATATGGCCGAGATTGTGATGTGCTCAACTGGGAGTAAGCGCGATGAATGGATTCACACAGAAGAACGTGATATATTACGACGTGCGGACAGTTGTAGGTTATACTACTACTCACCAGGGTACTGCCAGGGTGGCCAGCAGTCCAAACCCTGGGGCAACATTCATCACTTAGACTGTAGATGATACTCAGAATCACTGATAGAATTTGTGTGTTTATGAAATTTGTTTAATTGAACAACCATGCTTTTTTTAGTTTAAGGACATATTTAAACGAAATCGCAAACATGCTTATGTTACCTTATATACATGAATTTTTAGTCTTTTTTTTAATAATATGTCCTTCGCTGCTTTAACTGTTAAAGTTTATGAGAGAAATATACGATGTTTACCAATTCAGAGCACAACTATGATTTAAAGGTACTTATATAGCGTAAAACAATATTCAATCTTTGATTTTACACTACTGCACAATAGCATACGTAACTTCTTTTGGGTTTTATTCAGTTGAATATCGGACTCACTGTAGAACAACCATTTAATGTACGAGGTGAGGAGGGGGGTGGGGGTGGGGTGGGGGGGGGGGGGGGATTTTGGATTCAGATCAGCATTTCATTTCATGTTCAGGAGCTCAATTATTTTTTTCCAACATGAACATGTGCTCAGTTATTTCCTTTTCAAAATAAATAATAACAATGAACTGTATTCGTTGGACACTTAAAAAATTCTGCAAGTAAACGGCACATTATTTGTTTTTTCTACAATGCAAGGCATATGTAAAATAAATCACTAAATCAGGGCCCTGATTGTATTTCTCGAAAACATCCCGCCCCAACCATGACAATCAGATGGTTTTCTCCTTATTGTACGAATATAGAGGTGCTGAATGGTGTATGGTATGCTAGACGAAGTCCTTAAGAATATAACTGACAATCTCCCAAAGTCTGACATATACTTGAACTTTTCCTGCAGTGTAGGTCTATCTGCAGTGATGCACGCCCCAGGATGAAGCAAAATATGTTCCACGAGATGTCAGACAGCCAAATAAGGACTGTCTGATTGTCGATTGTTTAATTTATCGATTTCAGATTTAAATATACAAATTTTAAATGTCTAATGACAACCTCAAATTCAAGCATTAATACAGTAACATATAATAACAAATTATTGCCTTCACTTTAAGATGTCGATTATAAATAGGTTTAACAATATATGTTTCTAGATTTGCTGGTGTTGTTAATTATGTGTTGCCAGGACAATGGAAGTGTAAAACGGACTGTTTCAACGCATTGTAATTCACAAACAGCAGTGAATCTGAAAAACCACAATCATGTTTAACGACTTTGGATCATGAATGTAAATTGTTATCGGTACTCCTACGTCGACTCGGCAGTTAAACGGATATAACACCACCCTGAAGTGCCACAGCGTCATCATCCAATGGATCACCTCATATAGAACAACTACAAAACAACAACAAAATCACCTGGTCAGAATGAAGAAAAACATCAACTAGAGCGAAGTTGAGAAATATTGATCAAAATCATGTATAATCAATACTAAAAACGATTCTTATTGGCGTTTTTAAATAAGAATGTAATATTTGTAATACTTCAAAGGTAGGAATTTATTCTCATGACTTCGAAGCCCAGGAATGTTTATTAACCAGCTGTCAACAGTTACAAATACATGTTTTTGAACAATAGGAGCTCTAAGAAATAATTATGATGCAAAAGTATCATTGCTAAATGAGATAATACTTGGCTCGACAGGACACGTTAAACTGCCCTGCTAGATACACAGCACCTGCCCCACGATGTCGTGTGTCCCCGATACAATCAGATGCATATCAAGTGGCATTCCAACGATTTGTTTTTATTCCCTTCTCAACTTAATGTTCGTCAAGTCACGCCAAGTGGGTTTTTTAGATGTTGACAGCAGCGGGTGACGTTTTTAGATGTGTATCTGTGAATTATGACGGTTGTTTGGAAGCGTGCATTACCCCCGGCTATAAACAACACAAACACCCTTAATCAGGCGCATTATCCTTAAAAGTATCCTACAACACGCATAAACTAAACAGAGATCAATACATACAAATAGATTTACAAAGTTTCTGATAGTTCTGATTCACAACCTTAAATATATATATATACACGGATATATACCTTTTCAAAAGTGTATCAAATACCAGCATTCATACAAAAACAATATAAAATAAATTTATAATATATTCTTCCATTCATCTGTCGGTGGGGCACCATACGCACTTTTCGCGAACACCTGGTATCATCACTATTTATAGTGATTCATAAACACATGCTCATGATGGAGTCGGAATCGTACAATCGACTCTGCTTTAAGTAGATATTTCTTATGAATATGGAGAGGGTCGTCTCGCTTTTATTTCCATAGATCAGTTTTCTCAGTCTTTAAGTCCACACTATAAAGAGATCATACTTTGTCTTTTACTTTTCGCTAGTGGACACAAATGTGACAATCTTTTACCACAAATAGTAGAATTATGTTGTGTAGTGTGTTAGTATGTCTACACGATGTTAGATAATCTAGCACTATGTCCAAGGGTTTACATGACGCCTAAGGTTATATAGGCTCTATATATAAACCAACCATTCTGAGATGGGCATGCTTGTGGGCGGTCCTCGGCCGACGTCATGGCCCACGTGGTGCGACGTACCCGTTCTTCTATTGGCCACTTTATTAATGGCTCAGTTTCTACGACCTAGATGAATACTCAGACAATAACTAGGTTATCAACATGACAATCGGCATTTCGAAACCAGGTGTATAAAAGGTCTTGCAGTCCACACAAAGTACAACAGCATCCAAGAATTTCGACAGCTTCTCAAGTTATTTTACTTGAACATATCGAGAGCCAAAGGTAGGAAATTCCTTATTTTTCGAAAAAGTATTTCAACTTAAACACTTTTGTCTGATTACTTCAGTGACAAAGTATCACTTGTCATCATTGAGGACATGTTGTGCAAAGCGACCGTCATCAATGTGAAAGCGTTATCGATGCTTCTCGTACGTAATACATCGTCTGAATCTAAAAAAGTCATAATTGTTTAACCGATTGGCTTTTCAAATCATGTTCATTTTTAACAACCCTTATAAACTTTTATTTGTTTCAAATTGCATTAAATGTTATCTTATCAATAATATACTACTGTGGTAAGTGCTGTTTGGTGCTGCCCGTGTTTGGTTAGTGTCCCGAAACTGTACGATTCCGCTGATCCTGGGTTCGAATCCCAGGTTCCATTTGGTTATGGATTTTGTTTTTCTAGCTCCGCATCAATCCTCATTTGTTTGGAAGGATGGAAAGTCTATGACATAATCAGTTTTGGCTTTCCTACCAATTAAAGTGCTTGAAATATTACTGTAACAAATGGCGATACATTGCTCACTTAATATAATACTTACTTGAGAGAAACATTTGTGAAGGCGTTGCCACTTATGCCTTGACTAATAATTAATATAAAAACAAGGGCGGTATATCGGTCGTTATAATGTTCATTATTGATTAAATTGTGCATAATATCCAAGTAAGTAAAACCATTCCCATAATCACAAGAAATATCTTCCAAAAGTCCATTTGTAATTCCAACCATATCAGTTTAACAGATTATACATGGAAATATCCATCTTAATCAGGCTGATCAACGTAAACGTTTCGGTGAGGGGTAGGGGCTGTGTGACACATTTCTTTTCAACCTCACTTTTGTCGGTTATAAGTTAGGGTGAACCTCGACCTGAATTAATGGCTAAAGGGTGGACCAAGATGTTACTTACGGTCAAAGCATCAGCAGCCGTATAGCTTACTATCGTTACTTTGCTTGTCTCGAACTACGGACAAGAAATTTTTTCGTGGTCGCCAGGGTCCCGTTTCACAAAGTGATGGTAGTGCTGAGACGATTGTTACTTCCATACTTTAACATATTGTCACAATGGCTGAAGTGCTACTATAGCTTTGTGTCACGGGGACCTGGGTGCCGTTCTACTAAACAACCTTCGCACTACGACTGTCGTATGTCTATTTTAACGTATGGGAGTTACGATCACCTTAGCGCTAAGATGGCGTAGTAACACGGCACCCAGGGACCCCCTCTCACAAAGCTATCTTAGCGCTAAGGGGATAGTAACTCCCATTCTTTGAAATTGGGTTACGACAGTCTTGGCACTATGATTGCTTTGTGAAATGGGGTCCTGGCCGTTTAGAATTAGATGTGGTGGTAAGACAAGACGAGGGTGACAATTTAAATGGCTTTTAAATGAGTGAGTGAGTGAGTATGGTTTTACGCCGCTTTTAGCAATATTCCAGAAATCCCACGGCGGGGGACGCCAGGAATGGGCTTCACACATTGTACCCATGTCGGGAATCGAACCCGGGTCTTCAGCGTGACGAGCGAAACCCGACCGCCCCGCTTTTAAATGAGTTGTAGGTGATTCACTGACTTCTTCTATAAAAGGTCCATGGTCAGTAAATATAGTAAGACCTCAAAGCAATTGATCCAAAGTCCAACATGATGTGTTTTACCATCTGCGTCAAATTGAACTAAGTCCGCAGCTAACTTTGGATACAACTTTGTGAGTGAGTGAGTGAGTGAGTGAGTGGGTGGTTGTTTGGAGTGAGAGTGAGTGAGTGGGTGGGTGGTTGTTTGGAGTGTGTGAGAGTGAGTGAGTGATGTTTCACCAACTGCGGTCATTAAGATCAAGTCCGTAGCCAACTTCGGATATAAGAAGTGAGTGAATGAATGGGAGGGTGGAATGTGAGTGAGTGAGTGAGTGGGTGATGTTTCATGCATGACTGTAACAAACCGCATAATACTTTCACGGGAACGCTATTGTTAAGAAAGATCTTCGGATATAACATGGGGAATGTGAAACCCATGGAGTGTGTTATACAAGGTAGTCGTCTGTACCAGTATCACTTACTGTACATTGTAGCCTCGGTCTGTACTGAATAGTCTGTTCATTGTAGTCTCGGGCAATCATATCATAGAACAGTTTCCAGATTTGATCAATGGCGATTACGACGCTTGCCATCAGCTGGATCACTGCTCTTCGTGATTCTTGCATCGATAAGTACTATTTGTGTGTTTTGACACTAATACCTAAACTGGCTCCCTCACAGCATCTCCGATGTGTCAAGTATTGATGAAAGGCATTCTATGTAATTTAATAGCCATGTTTCCTGCTTTAACTAATATGGCAGTATTGTATGTTAAGCTTTTCAAGTCATTTTGTATTTGGGGCTTATGTTTGTGTCTTGTGTTGGTATGTGCGCAGGGCCTGTAAGTATGTCGGTATTCACTATCGTATGTTTTGGACAAAACATGGTTCATTGCAGGTCACGCAAACAAATAGGGTTAATACGGCCCCCCTTTAGCGATCACCCGTGCTATCAGAAGGTTATCTACCGTGAATTATAATAAAAGATGATTTGATGGCTTTCCGTTATTGCCTACACTTCTAAACAACGAAGGACAAAGAACGTTTGCATGAGTAAGCTACCCTACAAGTCGAACTACGTTAGAGGTCACAATAGTATCTGAAAGGTTGTTTCATATAGAAAGCTAGGATTTTTTATCCATCATTCATCCCATGACGTAAAAACATACATTATGATAGTGTAGGAGTGCGGCCCTGACTCTCTGACTAATACCCTCTTTATTGTCTTTCCTTCTTCTAACTCTTCCTCTTTCTGCCTTCCGTCCTCCTCTCTCTCACACACACACTCTCTCTCCCTCTCTCTCTCTCACACTCACTCTCTCTTCCCCTCACCCTTTCTCTCTCGCCCTCTCTCTCCCTCTCACACACTCTCTCTGTGTCTCTCTCCTCGGGTCTCTCTCCCTCTCTCTCTCTCTCTTACCTAAGGCTTTCATCTCCCTCTCTTTTCTTTCTCCTCTCTCTCACTCTTCTGCCCCTATCTCTGTTTCTCTCCAGCAACACTCTCTGTATGTCTCTCTCCCTCTCTCGTGCATTTCACTCTCTCTCACCTGCCTCTCCCACTCTCTCATTTTACTTTCTTTCTTCCTCACTGTTTCTGCCTCTATTCATCTTTCTCCTTCACACACTGTCTCTGTGTCTCTTTCCGTCCCTCGCGTCTCTGGGTAATATGTACATTGTTGTACTTGTAAGTGATTGACTGTTAACGTTATCAATCTATCAGTTACGTGGATAGACAGGCTAAAGTTATGTATTTCATCATTAATAACCTTTTATAAGATTGAGGATACGCTATGAACCATTGTCTTAATGGGATCGTACATGTACAGAATATTTAACGCTGTTCCCCCAGGTGATCATTCCACGAGACGTACATGATGAGGACTGTGACCGTTTGTGTTGTGGCTTTGCTGGCTCATCTAGGTAGGTTATGACATTCCCTTTTCACTTTCTACCTCTATCCGTAATAATGAAGTCATATAATGTTATTGAATTAATAATTAATGTATGAAAATGAAAGTTACTTCTGAACACTACGTTCCAAAAACAGTGCTTTGAATACAGAAGCATTTATGGGAGTGAGTGAGTATGGTTTTACGCCGCTTTTAGCAATACTCCAGCGATATCACGGCGGGCGACACCAGAAATGGGCTTCACACATTGTACCCATGTCGGCAATCAAACCTGGGTCTTCGGTGTGACGAGCGAACGCTTTAACCACAAGGCTACCCGACCGCCCCGCATTTATGTGAAAACTTTTCATAAAATTTTTCATAAAAAGTTTCATTTTCATTGACAAATATATGTCCTATCTTTTGTGTGAGTGCATGTTACTAACCTGAATTCCAATTTCTAGCGGCTGCCTCATTTGATTGTCGCCGGACATCGCAGGCATGCACATCACCGACAACCTGTTCCTACGCCGCCTCAGTTTGTGACTGCACTTCCGCAGCAGACCCATCGCAGGGACACGACTGTAGTCTAGTAACAGGTAAGTTCTCATCTGTGAACTGTTCTTTTAAGTGGTCTGCGCTTACTTCCGTATGTGTAAATGTTGTACAGTGAGTGAGTGAGTTCGGTTTAACGGCGTGTCAGCCTAATCTTGAAGGACAGCCCGAAGTGATGCAGGTCTCAGACGATTACCATTCCGGCGAAACCCATGAGCATGGGTATGGTGCTGACAAACCTTGAAACATATTCGGGGCGAACAGGGATTCGAACCCGCAATCATAGGTTTCTAGCGTGCCCCGTGGACGCAACTCTGCACAGCGAATTCCGGCGCCTCAGACCACCCGTGCCCTATCTTTATACAGAGAAATGCCATTGCTCCGAATTGTACTTTTGTCTGAAATGGATAGTGAAATAGTCCGGATGAAGACTTATATAAAGAAGACCGCCTCCGTGGTCTAGTGGTAGAGTGTCCGCCGGAGAGCGGAAGGTCCGGGGTTCGATCCCCGGCTGCGTCATACCAAATGACGTTAAAAGATGGTACTTGTTGTTACCCTGTCTGGCGCTCGGCATTAAGGGGCTAAAACAAGAACTGGTCGGCTCGGAGTCAGTATACTGTGTCTCAGTGGGGTATTCATGTTAAATGTTAAACTGCGGCATGGTATCTCAGTGGGCCAGCACTATAAATCGGCATCAGTCCGGACTAGTACATATAAGTGCAATAATCTTGGACGCGACGTTAAACCCCATTTCACCTCATCTTTCCTCACTTATATCAAAAATTTACATTCACATCTACGTTACATAATTATGTACAATGTGATAGTGCAACAGTGATGTCTGAGTTTATCCTAACAAATTTATTGACAAAACCCACACACGGTAACAGGAGACAGATCATCTTCATTCTTTAATTTTAGATTAAATAATATTATATTCTTATTGAACTTTTTGTGAAGCACAGTTCCTTTTAATTTTAGTGGCAAGTTGATTGGTTGGTTTTCGTTGTTTAACGCCGCACTCAGCAATATATGCTATATGACGGCAGTCTGTAAATAATCGAGTCTGGACCAGACAATCCAGTGATTAATATAATGAGCATCGATCCACGCAATCGATGACATGTATCAACCAAGTCAGCGAGCCTGACCACATGACCTCGTTAGTCGCCTTTTACGACAAGCATAGTCACCTTTTACGGCAAGCATGGGTTGCTGAAGACCTATTCCACCTCGGAATCTTCACGGGGCTTTAGTGGCAAGAATAGGTCTCCAGCAACCGTTGCCAGTCGTAATTAGTCAGGTGGTCAGGCTAGGTAACTTGGTTGATTGCATGTCTACATACCTCATTTGCGTGGACCGCGGTTAACAATATCGATCACTGGCTCGTCAGGTCCAGACTCGATTATCAACAGGCCGACGTCATAAAGCTCAAGTAAGGATGGATGAGGCGTTAAACAACAGACAAACACGTATGCACGCACACACTTATGTGCAAACCCTTAAAATTCGAGGTTAAGCTAACAACGAGGATATTGCAGAATAGTACACAGCTCCATATGTAACAGAGATGCTTATCGACAATCCTTGTCAAATAAACAGTATACTTCGTTTATAACGAACACGTTATAACGAACTGGCGGATATAAAGAACTTATTTCCCCCAACCATTTGCTGTACATAAACTGTATATGCTTATAACGAACTACGGTTATAACGAACCAAAATTAGTTGTCCCTTTGAGTTCGCTATACTCGTAGTTTACTTTTAAACTCAAAACTGTAATTTAAGTTCCATGATTGAAACTTAACATCTTTGTTTGGAAGTTGGTTAAATGAGATGAATTGTAGAGAGTCAATCAAACATATCCTTTACAAGTTGTGTAAATCACTGAAAGAGAACTTAACTTGTTTCATGCCAGACGAATTGTATTTCGCAAGAAATACAAATACCAGCGTATTTACTGCCTGGGTCCCTCTACTGCTACGGGACATATCTCTGGACAAAGAATCGCGTCTCCACTGAACACCCACAGAAAGTCTTAAAGTGTATTTATCATACAACACAGAGGGGAAACAGGTAATCCTAGAGACCCAGCAATAAACCTTTTCAGCTATGATTGTGGATATTAATGTGCAACGTACTTTCTTTTAGCATCGGTAGGAGCCGGCGCTTGTGCTTCTGCCGATCCGTGCAGTACAGAGGGAACCTGCTACGACGTTGGGGGAACAGCAACCTGCTACTGTGATGAAGACACGTACGGAGAATTCTGTGGCCTGAATCGATGTAAGTGACGCTTTGAAAGAGTGGACATCGGAAATATATTACATTCAAAAAGACGTTCGTTTTCAAAATCAAGTATATAACAACTGAAAATATTATCTGAATAACATAACATCTGCGCCTCCATTAAGACACATATTATTTATTGCGTGAAGGTACAGACGTTAGGACAAAACTGTATTGGGACGATGATCGGTTTCGTGGCTTTAATCAGTATCGGCGTTCTAAAGAAGAAAGTGTTATGAACGGATGGTATCAATCTTTCAGTGGCCGTGGCGTGTGAAACGGGGAAAATGGTGATAGGAGTGAATCCAGCAGGGACATTCACTGGTCATGCCTACATCGAAGGGAAACGCGCTGAGTCCACCTGTAATCTGGCAGTCGTCCCCGCCGCTACTCCTGGAGACAGTATCCCGGACGAGTGGCTTGGATACGCACTTGACTTGGCCAACACTGGCACTAGCTGTGGAGACATAGTAGCCGTGAACGTACGTAGTACGGATTATACTACTATTACTACTACTACTACTACTACTACTACTACTTACCCGTAAATAACACTATGTCTTCAGCAATCCATGCTTGTCGTAAGAGGCGAATAACGGGATCGGGTTGTCAGGCTCGCTGACTTAGTTGATGCATGTCATCGTATCCCTAAGGCGTAGATCGATGCTCATGGTGTCAATCACTGGAATGTGCGGTCCAGGCTCGATTATTTACAGACCGCTGTCACATAGCTGGAATATTGCTACTACTACTACTACTACTACTACTACTACTACTACTACTACTACTTATTACTACTACTACTACTACTACTTACCCGTAAATAACAGTGTCTTCAGCAATCCATGCTTGTCGTAAGAGGCGAATAACGGGATCGGGTTGTCAGGCTCGCTGACTTAGTTGATGCATGTCATCGTATCCCTAAGGCGTAGATCGATGCTCATGGTGTCAATCACTGGAATGTGCGGTCCAGGCTCGATTATTTACAGACCGCTGTCACATAGCTGGAATATTGCTACTACTACTACTACTACTACTACTACTACTACTACTACTACTACTTACCCGTAAATAACAGTGTCTTCAGCAATCCATGCTTGTCGTAAGAGGCGAATAACGGGATCGGGTTGTCAGGCTCGCTGACTTAGTTGATGCATGTCATCGTATCCCTAAGGCGTAGATCGATGCTCATGGTGTCAATCACTGGAATGTGCGGTCCAGGCTCGATTATTTACAGACCGCTGTCACATAGCTGGAATATTGCTACTACTACTACTACTACTACTACTACTACTACTTACCCGTAAATAACAGTGTCTTCAGCAATCCATGCTTGTCGTAAGAGGCGAATAACGGGATCGGGTTGTCAGGCTCGCTGACTTAGTTGATGCATGTCATCGTATCCCTAAGGCGTAGATCGATGCTCATGGTGTCAATCACTGGAATGTGCGGTCCAGGCTCGATTATTTACAGACCGCTGTCACATAGCTGGAATATTGCTACTACTACTACTACTACTACTACTACTACTACTACTACTTACCCGTAAATAACAGTGTCTTCAGCAATCCATGCTTGTCGTAAGAGGCGAATAACGGGATCGGGTTGTCAGGCTCGCTGACTTAGTTGATGCATGTCATCGTATCCCTAAGGCGTAGATCGATGCTCATGGTGTCAATCACTGGAATGTGCGGTCCAGGCTCGATTATTTACAGACCGCTGTCACATAGCTGGAATATTGCTACTACTACTACTACTACTACTACTACTACTACTACTTACCCGTAAATAACAGTGTCTTCAGCAATCCATGCTTGTCGTAAGAGGCGAATAACGGGATCGGGTTGTCAGGCTCGCTGACTTAGTTGATGCATGTCATCGTATCCCTAAGGCGTAGATCGATGCTCATGGTGTCAATCACTGGAATGTGCGGTCCAGGCTCGATTATTTACAGACCGCTGTCACATAGCTGGAATATTGCTACCACTACTACTACTACTACTACTACTACTACTACTACTACTACTTACCCCACTACTACTACTACTACTACTACTTACCCGTAAATAACAGTGTCTTCAGCAATCCATGCTTGTCGTAAGAGGCGAATAACGGGATCGGGTTGTCAGGCTCGCTGACTTAGTTGATGCATGTCATCGTATCCCTAAGGCGTAGATCGATGCTCATGGTGTCAATCACAGGATTGTCCGGTCCAGACTCGATTATTTACAGACCGCTGTCATATGGCCGGAATATTGCCGTGTGCGGTGTTGCACAACAAACAAATAAAACAAACCGACGCTAAACAACAACAACTACTACTACTACTACTACTACTACTACTACTAATGGTAATAAGAAAAGATGACGCTTTCATGTCTATGTAAGTCATTTATTGACATGTGGGCTATCGAGTCACACAGGTTAAACTTAACATTCTGTTATCCAGACTGCAGGTAAAACTGAATACACCCGCACTATCGTTGTCCAATACGAGGCTGATTTTTTGACCAACATCGACGATCTTTTCACCGCAAAGTGCGTGTTCAACGATGCTGGAGCTCTGGTATACAGCGGTATCGTCAAGCTTGACCCAGCATCTTTGTGAGTTTACACACACGTCAAATGTTGATATTGATATGCGAACGATAACTCAATCTCAAACAATATCACAAACAGATAAGTGGGTCCTTCATTGTTATATGACAACCCTCATAGTACGCAACTTTGTCATAACGTTCAAGGACGATGACAATAGAATACTATGTTCCTGCGTATTGAGATTACGTTTCTAAAATTGTTTATTGTTCCCGAATTGTAATGAAATACAGTATTCAGTCAAGATATATTTCGGATTGCAATAGAATGACACAATATAATCTTTAAAGTTTAAACAGTGTCAGAAAACACAATCAGAATAAAACGTAGCATGTATCAACGATGAGCAAAGAATCAAATGCATAGGCTGAACGTGACGATTAATTATTAACGTTGTTTTTTGTTGCATAATAAAGTTACTTTTTGTGGTGGAACACAACCACTAACATCTATTAAAAAGTTTCCTTGCTGCCTATTACAGTCAACGTAAACTTGTACTCGGAATGAACATGTAATGAGATATTGATTGGATATTCTGTACAGGACAGGCAACCTGAACCCCAAATCTACCGAAACAGAGTTCTCGCCTGTGGGCTTGACGGTGACGAGTGCAGGAACACCTGTTGTTTCAACTACGCCTATTGTTGTGGGTTCTGAGATCGTGTTCACCTTCACGATACCCACAGGTAAAACATTTGGTTTCGGGTGGATGTTTTTCTTATTGTTGCTGTGCATGTGTGCGTATATCCGCATAAGATGTGTAACTCTCTCGAACAGCTTTGAATCCGGCAGAAAAAATAGGTCTTCGGCAACCCATGCCTGCCGTAAAAGGCGACTATGCTTGTGGTAAGCGGCGACTAACGGGATCGGGTGGTTAGGCTCGCTGACTTGGATGATGCATGTCATCATACTCCAATTGCGTGGATCGATGCTCACGATGTCAATTACTTGATTGTCTGGTTCAGACTCGATTATTAACAGACCGCCGTCATATAACTGGAGTATTGCTGAGTGCGGCGTTAACAACAAACAAACAAACAAAACCTTTCTGAATCCTCCTTCTGAAGGGCATATGTTCGGTTCTGTAACATCCATGAATTACTACCTATTGTCCTAATAACTGTTACTTGTGATATCAATACGAATTATCCTCTAAGATCTTTGGTAAGGCTGTCAGGTTACATCTTTGTTTTCTCATAATTACATGTGCGGTGTACAAGCGAGTGAATGGTATGCGACCCGTGAAGATCCGGGGTAGAACAGGTCTTCAGTAACCCATGCTTGCCGTAAAAGGCAACTGTGCATGTCGTAATAGGCGACTAACGGGATAGGGTGATCAGACTCGTTGACTTGGTTGATGCATGCCATCCTATCCCATATGTGTGTGGATCGATGCCATGATGTCAATCACTGGATTGTCTGGTCCAGACCCGATTATTTACAGACCGCCGTCATTTAACTGGAATGTTGTTGAGTCCGGCATTAAACAACAAACAAACAAATGGTATGCTTACACGTTAATTTTCCTCGCACAGAGTACGAGTCGATGAGGATTGTCACGGCCGTCGCTAACAACACAGATGATGACAGTTTGAAGACCCTTGATGTTGTCACCGCCAGGTAGGAATATGAAAGTAGGGTGATTGTGTACCATGCCCGCTGATCAGTGTAATGACACATTGCTCATCTGGAGACCGAAAGGTCCGAAGTTCTATTTCCGGCCGCGTCGTACCAAAAGACTTTAAAATATGGTACTAAGTGTTACCCTGTCTGGTGCTCGGCATTAATGGGCTAAAACAAGGTCTGATCGCCCCAGGACTGAGCGTAGCGCCAGCGCAGCATACCCAGGGAACCAGGCTGTGGTCGGCTCGGAGCCGACATACTGTGTCCGTGTGGTATTTTTTCTCATTGAGCAACACACAAAACACACACACACACACACACACACACACACACACACACACGTGCATGTACGTCGCTACGTTTGTGCAATAATCTTCCACGTGACGTTAAACCCCATTATACATCACTGTAGTTACATTGATCGCAATCTATTAACTTTTTAAAATACAGCCGAGATCTTCTGAAACGTTGCTTCAAGGATGCATGTTCCTCCAGATGGTGGCATGTGCTGGGTCATTTCATATCACGAAGCGAAGCAGGGGAAGAAATTGTTAGGGTAAACACGTAACTTTGGTTACTGTAATGTAATGAGTTTGGCACATTATGTACGAAAAATAAATGTATTTCTTTGCAAAATTTATACAGGATAAAATCTTTAAAAATGTCTCTATTTTATTTTATTACATCCCCTTTCCAGGTCTATCCATGGTGGGTCAGTCCTGCACCACGACTGTGGAATGTATTTATTTTATGAAAAAAACACAATCTAGAAACGTATACAAAAGCAAGTCTAGCCACCTCAAGCTAGCTCTTTTATGGAATCAGCTTCGGGAAGGGTATTTTGTTATATAAGATTTCATAGACTAAATGTTAGTCTAATGGTGGGTATATAGACTATCTTGAATGCATCGCTGTTATTATAGCTCAATTCATCACATGCCGCTGCAACGTGGATATTTCAATCTCGTATATGTCTCTGATATTATTTTATCTAATTCATCTATCACGTAGGTATATTCCACACAGTCCGTGTCTCTGTAATATTGTTTTAATTCAACTTGTGGGGCACGTGTGGCCGATTTGCCGAGTCGCCCTGGAGACGCTGATCGTTGATTCGTATCCCAGGTTATGAACCTTGGCTTGTCAGCACAATACGCACTCGTAGGTTTCACTAACGTCTACGTTGCCTTTACGAGTGAGTGAGTTGGGTTTAACGCCGCTTTTAACAGTATTCCAGTTATATCACGGCGTGTCAGCTTAATGTGGGAAAAAGCCCGAGGTGATGCAAGTCTCAGACGTTTACCACTTCGGTAAAACACACGAGCACGGGTATGGTGCTGACAAACCTAGAAACATAATCGGGGCGAACCGGGACTCGGACCCACAATCATAGGTTTCTGGCGTGCCCAAGGGACGCAACTCTGCACAGCGAATCGCGGCGCCTTAGACGACTGAGCCACCCATGCCCCCTTCCCTTTACGACTACAGTTTACTGATTCAGCTGAACGACTGCTTACTCGGCAACTATTCATTCTGATTCTACCACATTCATCGAGAATATCAGCTTGCATATGAAGTTATCCTATTTCATATCTGTGACATATGAAGTTATATATAGTTAGAATACCCTAGCCAGGTTCATATAGTACATAAATAGTGAGTGAGTGAGTTAAAATGTAACGTCACATCGCCAATATTTCAGCCATATCGTGACGAAGTACATACATACATTGCAAGTGATTCCATGACAGTTATAGAACAGGTCTTCAAAAACCCATGCTTGTCGTAAAAGGCGACAAACGGGATCGGGTGGTCAGGCTCGCTGACTTAGTTGATGCATGTCATCGATCCCAGTTTGCGTGGATCGATGCTCATGATATTAATTACTGGATTGTCTGGTCCAGACTCGATTATTTACAGACCGACGTCATGTATGTTTCCATTCCGAAAAGTGTGTAGTTGTTGTTGTTGTTGTTTAACGCTGCACTCAGCAATACTCCAGCTATATGACCGCGGTGTGTAAATAATCGAGTCTGGACCAGACAATCCAGTGATTGATATCATGCGCATCGATCCACAATTGGGATCGATGACATGCATCAACCAAGTCAGCGAGCCTGACCACCCGATCCCGTTAGTCGCCTTTTACGACAAGCATAGTCACCTTTTACGTAGGCCACGCCTACTAGTGGAAAACTGTTTCATGATTGACTGATAGTAAGGTGGGTGGGGCTTGTATTGCATTAGTGCGCTGCACGATGTCACTTGTCTCGTATTGTTGTCTACGGTCTGTTGTGTTAACGATTAATTAAGCAATCTGTGAAGTTATTATTGTGGACTTATATATTTATAAGAAACAAACTTCTATATGATTTTGTGTTTAAATGTTGAAGGTAAAAACCGGTGTGCAAAATGTGTAAATAAATTCTTAGTTATAATACGTATTCCTATATCATTTGATATTCTGTTGTATTCAACAGTTGCATGGACGCTGCTGCCTTCCCTATCGCCGTTGAAGCCCCAACCAGGGGCACAGGGGGGGCAGATAAAAGGGAAATAACTCTAAAACTGCGTGCCTTCCACTTTGACGGTAATGACCAAGTCGGGTTCAAGTTCACCGTAAAAGTGTGTCTCACCGCAAATGATGCCGATTGTGACCCTGTGAGTATTGGTTGCTGAGATACAGATCTTTAAAAAGTCACTTGATTTCACAAAACATTACGTGTGATGTCTGTGAAACATGGTTTGTTTTATGTGTTTCTTGTGCAACACCGCACACGGCAATATTCCGGCCATATGACGGCGGTCTGTAAATAATCGAGTCTGGACCAGACAATCCAGTGATTAACATCATGAGTATCGATCCACGCAATTAGGATACGATTAAAAGTTTACGGCAAGCATGGGTTGCAGAAGACTTATTCTTCCCCGGATCTTCGCGAGTCCCCAGAAATATGAATTCATACACCAAGACATTCCTCAACTTGCCATTTTACGATTTCTTCTAATTCCTGTCGTCTACAATGTTCCCTCGTCGTTTATTTATCCTGTGGTGTTTTACTGTACCGTAAACATTTCCCTACCCGATTATTTCATAAATCGCCAGTTTCTTTCATGGGATCATAGTTAATCTGTCTTGTCATATATATTATGTATTACATACTCCATGTGCGATGGACCCGTGAAGATCCGGGGTAGAATAGGTCTTCAGCAACCCATGCTTGCCGTAAAAGGCGACTATGCTTGTCGTAAGGGGCGACTAGCGGTATCGGGTGGTCAGGCTCGCAGACTTGGTTGATGCATGTCATCGATCCCAATTGCGTGGATCAATGCTCATGATGTAAATCACTGGATTGTCTGGTTCACACTTGATTATTTACATACCGCCGTCATATAGCTGGAGTATTGCTGAGTGCTGTGTTAAACAACACGTAAACAAACAAAGCGATGGACTAACATATGCTCGACTAATATTTTCGTTGTGTCCATACATAAATAATTAAATTTTCGTTGTGTTCATGCAAATTCCTGCATTCTGATTAGCTGAATTGGTCACGTGTTATTGCATTCATTTCCCAATGAATGTAAAAAATTAAGCCACGCCCACCGCGGCGCACTACTTTTATTACCGCGGAATGTCGGGGAATCCCAATATTACAGTCGAGGGAATTCCCTTTCTGCTCACGTGTATCGTCATGCACAGGACATTTAGCGACTTTCATGCATATTCATTTTCCAAACAACCCTTTGAAACCGAAGGCCGAAAACGAATGAAACAGCAAACGTGCAGGCTCTCTCGCCTATTTTTTTCCCGCTCGTCACGGTTCAACTTTCATGTCTTCGGGTTTCATTTCTAACTAGCATTTGTCCAACTGTGTTTTACCGTAATCAGGGAAGTAATGTTTGAATCAGCAGTAAATGACCATGTTATTTGAAACAGCCGCCTTCTCTCGGTCGACATATTTTTTCCGTTTCGTTACAGTCTGACTGTTGCAGTTCTTTTCGCCTCTTGCCTTAATTGACAGGTCTAATGAACATTGTTTTAATCCCACTCTCCGTTGATTGGCTACTGAATGTGTAGGCGTGTCAAGTTATGTGCATAAATTAAACGATCACCTGATTCATGTCACGCCACTGTACATATTCTTACACCTGGAATGTTTATCAATGTCGTCATTTTTGTCTGTTTTGATATATGCAACTGTTTTGGGTTAAACTATTGTAGATAAAACCGATTTGCAAACTTCGCGGATTCATACAGTTTGCACATCGGTTTTTCGATTCATACCTCAATGAACCGAACAAAATACACAGTCAATCCTTAAATGTAAAACATCTGTTTCAGGAAACGTGTAACGGAGTTACTGCATCCGGTTTCGGTCGTAAGAAGCGAGAGGCCAGTGATGACGAGAAGGTCATCACTAGATTCATCACTGTGCGAGACTCCCTGGCTGGGGGACAAGACGGTATGTTATATTCAGAAATCATTTAACTTCACCTGAGTTCCTCTGAATTAACATAACCAACATATTTATTGACATTATAAGGTCAAATGGATTTGTCCAACATACAAACATTCCATAGGACTATATACAGACACCGGGCAGTAGCATAAATATAAAACACTGAAATAAATATGGTGCATATATAATCAATACTTCCATGAAAATCATTAAAATAAATACAAAGGCATGACAGTTTGATGTGACGAATACTGTGCATTGTCTACACAAAATATTTTCTCTAATAGCAATATCTCATGATAAGAAATATTATTGTGAGCTTTATTTGAGTAATACTTTGACAGCAATACATCTCCTGGACAGGGTTTAACACATTGTACCCATGTTGGGAATCAAACCTGCTTCTTCCATCTGACGAGTTAATGCTTTAACCATTGAGCTAACAACGTTTGTAGAAATTTTTCAAATGAACGGAAATATTAATGGTGTCTGTTAAAATATAGCTGTTTCAACAGTTTTGCAGGAAAATGTAAACTGAAACTCACCTACACCCAATTTAGGCGAAAACCACCCGGGTCAACACCACCCTCCACCATGTCAGCACCACCCTCTAATGCCCATCCGGGTCAACAAGGACGTCAGCACCACCCTCTAACGCCCACCCGGGTCAACGCAAACGTCAGCACTGCGCCTCCTCAAACTACAGAACTCATGCATGTCTTCTATCTTTTCAGGTCAAACTGGACTGACAAACAACGACTGCCAGATAAATGGACAGACGACCGTTGCCATGGTTGCTATGGGCATTGTCATCTTCACACTTATCATCCTCTGCCTTGTCCTGATCGTCCGCTCCGTGTCCCGCCGTACCCGATCCGAGTCGAAACAGGAACTCCATGCTTAAAACATGGAGGTGATTTTTGGCCCAAAATATCGATACAGCAACGTTCTTATATAATTTAGAACACTTAGCTATTTCTCACTCATTTCTCAAATTAATATGTACTTCATGACAACATATTCATAAATAGTTGGGTTTAATGATATTTGTAAGTGCAAAGATTTTGGTAAAGAATGTCCTTCATGTTCAAAATCTAAAGCATGCCATATGAAGGTTCACTATAGCAGACCTGTATTTTTACTTTTCGCTTACTGAATGTTATGTGAGACTTAAGCTTGTGATACGTACCCCTCCTCCAGATAATGTCTGTATAGAACTGTACATCTTTATGTTATATCCTTTATAGTTTTATATTTTTGTAATAAAACATCTGACGCATTGAGCGATGTTTTTTTCATTCTCCTTGAAAAAGTGCCGGGCAACAGAAAAAATGCACTTCAAAACTGGATAATACATTACAAATTTTACCATCCGTTACTAGGCTGAAAACAGTCGCCGAAACACTGCAAACATATAGTCCCAAGCTATGATATCCAGTCACGTACATGTATATAACCATTTCTTGTATATTTCAACTTTAGTCACATGGGAGCATACCTTCTGTTGCCCGGCAGTTCAGGACTGGTAGTCATGACTGGTATTCATGACTGGTATTCGTGACTGGTGCAACAATGATGCTTTCTGTGTAAAAGGTCATTAAGTGTCGGTTGCAGTTTTCAGCTCCTGGCTCATGGTTGACCAAAGGTGTTTTTGTCACTCACTCACTCACTCACTCACTCACTCACTCACTCACTCACCCACTCACTCACTCACTCACTCACCCCACTCATTCACTCACTCACTCACATTCCATCCTCCAATCCATTCACTCACTTCTTATATCCGAAGTTGGCTAAACCAGCCTGATCTTAATGACCACAGTTGGTGAAACATCACTCACTCACTCATTCACCCCACTCATTCACTCACTCACTCACATTCCATCCTCACATCCATTCACTCACTTTTTATATCAGATGTTGGCTACGGACTTGATCTTAATGACCGCAGTCACTCACTCACTTACTCACTCAGACTCAGATATAACTATTAACATTCTGCCGTTAATGACGATGTACGAGCCTTTTTAGGTTTGAGGGAAATATCAAATCACTGGACCATGAAGTATGCGTTTTGAAACATTTGCCAAAATGGGAAGAAATCCAAATGGCTTTCAACTGTTGGCCGCCTCCGTGTTTAAGTGGTAGAGCGGTGTGGGGTTTGATGCCCGGTCAGGCTGAGCATATCGACAGACACTGTCACCTGTGGCAATAGTTGCACGATTTCGCACGAACATTTAGGTAAACATTGTGACACGTAGCATTTAGTGACACAACGAGTCACGTTGTATTTAGTAACATATTGTGACACGTAACATTTAGTTACACGTTTAGCATTTAGTGACTCATTGTGAAACGTAGCATTTAGTCCGACATTGCGACACGCAGCTTTGAGTGAAACACTGAGACACGTTTGTTTGTTTGTTGTTTAACGCCGCACTCAGCAATATTCCAGCTATATGACAGCAGTCAGTGAATAGTCGAGTCTGGATCTGACAATCCAGTGATTGACAACATGAGCATCGATCCACGCATTTGGGATACGATGACATGCATCAACCAAGTCAGCGAGCTTGACCACCCGATCCCGCTAGTCGCCCCTTACGACAAGCGTAATCGCCTTTTACGGCAAGCATGGGTTGCTGAAGATCTATGCTACCCCGGATAGTCCTGAGACTATCACTATTTTAACCCGGATCTTCAAGGGTTACTTTATTTAGTAAATTGTGACAGAAAGCATTTCGTTCCACACTGGGACACATAGCATTTAGTTACACAATATGACACGTAGTGTAAAAGTGACCGCAGCTTGGCTTCTGAGGTAAGGTGAAATGGGGTTTGACTTCGCGTCCAAGATTATTGCACTTATATAGCGACGTGCATGCACGTGTGTGTGTGTGTGTGTGTGTGTGTGTGTGTGTGTGTGTGTGTGCTTGTACTAGTCCGGACTGATGCCGATTTATTGTGCTAGCTCACTGAGATACCATGCCGCAGTTTAACATGAATACCCCACTCAGACACAGTATACTGACTCCGAGCCGACCAGTCCTTGTTTTAGCCCCTTAATGCCGAGCGCCAGACAGGGTAACAACAAGTACCATCTTTTAACGTCTTTTGGTATAACGCGGTCGGGGATCGTACCCCGGACCTTCCGCTCTCCGGGCGGACGCTCTACCACTAGACCACGGAGGCGGTCTTGGTTTCTGAGAGTTTCTTGGGCTTCGGTCCTGCCCCACTGAAGGACATGTAACACATGTGGCGTCTCCTTTGGCAATGTGCCACTGTTCACCCTGCAATGAATTGGTACCCGGTAGGAAAAGATGGCAATATGGTTGTTCTTCTTCAGTGTGGTCCTTTTAGCGCCTAACAGGCAATTTAGGTTGTATACTCCCCAGGGAGCAGAGAATGATTCTTGAGTGCTCACTGTTCCAGTGACCGGGGTAATGAAAGTGCTTCTGAGTGGTGTGGAAATATGCGCAATATAAACGGCCTATTATTATTATTTATTTTATTATAAACAGATTAAAAAAAAAAGAAGCAAATTATTATTATAATATATTATAAACAGATTAAAATAAAAAAAATGCAGCAAAGGGTGATCCTGGCATTCCGTCATGACGTTTCTACATGTTGATCACAATGTATGCAAAACTATTGCCGCGTGTGGTCTGTAGTAAGGTGTTTGGGATTGAGAACTGTAAGTGAAATAAAATATCTTGTGTTATGTTATAGAAAAATCATAAAAAATTAAAGCGAAACACCTTTCCATAACTATTAGGAAGAGTCTATTGTACGATTCTGTGTTCGCGAAAAGGGGAGCGTATTCACATATCTACCATAAATGTGTTGCAAAAACATTACTGATTAAGCCCTTAAATGATGTAAACTTCAATAAACAACCTTTGAGCACCAGTCGTATGACGCTATTTGAAATCGTCGTATTAAAAGCATGTTCGATTGTACCTCAAATGGTTGTACAATTTATGGATAGATACATATTCTATTCGGTATTTAAGGCCTCATGGCAGTTGACATTTACAAGTTCATTTGTTAAGTCACATAATACACATGATATATAAAAACTATCTGACGGAGAATATATGTTTCAAAAATATGGCTAATGAACGTATAACAGATGAGATGTTGGATTTTATAAGACTGATCATTAACATCTTGTTTGTATGCCTATTGTTAAACACCGGAATATACTTTTCTCTAAGATGTTCATACTTAACATATACTTAAAAAACATGAAATTCATCCTCAATTTCACCTAATTTGCAGTTTTTACAGATACCCATTTCAACGTCCCATTTTTCACATCTACGTCTGAAATTTACACTGAAATTGTGTAATGACACTCTGAGTTTACAAACTGCCCTAACAAGCGATTTATCATATAACATACTTATAAACTTCTCTGGTTATATAACAGCGTTCGTAGGAGAACAAAGACGTATTAGTGTCTTTAGATATTTTAATCCGCTGCAAACGACGAGAAATACACAGATGGGCTTTGAGATTGAGTTGTGATTGTGTTTTACCCATCATTACTTTGTTTTTCTTCGTGACTGGCATGTGAAATAACGACATGCAATCCTCTCCATAACATTTTCACCAACACAATTCAATTGATCTGTTGTCACCTTGTGGGCTTATCACAGACAGAGATTTAACAGATTTGCTCACTAAAATGTCTCCAATTTCTTCCAGTGCTTTATTTGAAATTTCCTGCCTTTCCTTAAACCAATCCATTGCCTGCTGACATTCTGTTTCACCTTGCAACACTGACAAATACTGCCTATGGGCATCATACAGAGCTTTTACCGCAGCTTCAATTTTATTGCATGTCAGCTGATAATGTTCGTTTCAACCGCTTTTTCGTAATTTGAGACCTTGCCGTATTAATAATTGCCGTCAAACGAGCAGCATAACCACTCCTGGCATACTTCAAGTCTTGTGTTTCTGTGTTAAACTCGTATCTCTCGGGATGAATTCCCTTTGTCGATCTGCTAGACCGTCTCGGCAAACCAGGCTCAGAACGAGTGCTTCGCAAGTGTTTAGAATCAAATTCAGCATTAAGTGACAGTTTGGGGGGCTCAACTTGCTTAGATTCCATCTTTAAAGAATAACTGAAAGTTCAAACACTTCTGTGCTAGATAAGAGTAATGTACTGTGTTTGAATGTTACAAGGAGTTCAGTTTTCGCGCACAAGAAGAAAAACCTTTTGTTCGTGAGAGAACAAAGACGTATTAGTGTCTTTAGATATTTTAATCCGCTGCAAACGATGAGAAATACACAAATGGTTGAGATTGAGTTGTGATTGTGTTTTACCCATCATTACTGTGTTTTTCTTCGTTACTGGCATGCGAAATCACAACGACATGCAATCCATAATATTTTTACCAACACAAAGGAGATAACTAAAAGATAATAATTACGGACTATCAGAATTTTGCCTGATAATCTATCAAATTCAGCTGGTATTCCATCAGCAGATTTACCAGCTTTCAGATTTTGTAACGCACATTCAATTTCTTTCCCTGATATTTCACCTGATAATAGATCATCTGTAAATGGTAACTCGTTGCAGTCTTCACATGAATGGGAATTATACGAACTGGGTAACATAACAATCAAAGGTTTTGGCTTCCAAGTTATTAAATGCGGGGTTAAGTAGATCTTTAAAATAAGTGAACCAGATATCTGGTGACAAGGAGTAACTAGATGTATTACCTCGTATCGCCCTTTTTAATGAATTCCAGAAACGTTTACACTCTCCATGTTTAGCTGCCAACTTTATATCATCACACAGTTTAGCATCGTATATATTCTTCGTGTTTTACAGCATTTCTTGTACTCAGATTTCGCATTGAGATAAAGGTGTAAATATATCACATGTATATGTTCTAAACTTGTTCAGCAAACTATATTGTCTACATATTAGATTAGTACACTCTATATCAAACCATGACGGTTGTTGCTTATCGTGCTTTGTAGCTACTGGAACATATGATCCTGCATTTTTACCACATTGAATTAAAATATCACAAAATTATCCTACAACAGTATCAACATTATGTTCAAATAATATAGAAAATTCATTAAATGTTTCCTTACTCGCAGTGCTGCATAAATAATTTTGATACGAAGACCTTAACTTCAGGGAGTCTGTATCTAGCTATGTGATTTATTAGCAAATGAGTAGTTTCAGGCCTCTTATTGGGCTGACAGGTAGGATGTTCTTCAGAGTACATAGGGTTGGGAAATGGTCTGACTCAGTTTGCTGAAGAACCGACATATCTATTATATTTGTGAAAATATCAGTAGATATAATAAACTAGTCAACAACGCTGCATCCAGAATGTGATACATAAGTCAAATTGCCAATGATATCTGATTTAAATCTTCCATTAACTATATCTTACACATATCTAAAAAAATTAAGCCATAGTTGTTTATGCCTTTATCTAGACATTGTCGAGGACGAGATAAGTTATATATTATCAACATAATCAACATAATCATTTATTATATAATCTACCTGATTTCCAGTCCTGGCATTGAAATCTCCACATACAATGAATTCGCATAGGTTGTGAAATTTAGACCCCAAAGTATGGAGCTGCAGGAATATTACTCCGCATATATGGAAACTATCGACTATGTGACTAATCTGTGGAATCAACAATTAAATACTGACTGTAGCCAAACTAGTATTTACTCTGTTTACGAGCACTTTGTTATCGAAAATGTGATTTTCTTATAACAGGCCAATCAACACGGACAAGTATCATTAAGTGATTGATAATTGTGATCGACACAAGTCAGAGGCACATATGTCATAAGCCGAGTCGCCAGAGATCGAGGTGCAAGTGTGAACGTCCGAGGGAGCCATATTTCACGTGCATTACGCAGGGGCTATTCAGTGTACTCACACTTATGTATAGAGTTCGTGAGAATCTATTAAAATACAGTTGTAACACACAATCAAACCAATGGTTTCACCTCGTCCTCAAACCCACGATTCATTGGCAAGCTTTATATGCAGCTGACCCGTACAAGACCCTGTCCATTTGACCTTAAATTAATGAACAAATTGCAATTATTTGATTGCATTGGTGCCCAGTGAGTAGTCAATTAAATATATCGAAATTGTTCACAACAGGATGCACATATAATACTTAATTAGACCCCCTAATAAAACCATTGTCCAACAACTATTTAAAAGCCTTGCTGTGTCAGCGTCACATACAGTCAAAGTGGACCTGCTTGTCTACATAGTTGATGGACCAGCCTTCTTATTTCTGAACGTTTTGGGCATTAGAAAGGACGTGCATGACTTTACCCGTCATATCAACATGGAGATATTTGGTCTTGTGGACGTGCCACTAAATCTCCTTCTGGCCATAGCGGCGGCTGTACTGGTCTATAAGTAAGTAGACCGTCATATACAATCACTTATTTCATGCCAATAGCAAGTTTCAGAGGTTTTCCTGAAGACAAGCATTATATAACACAAGTCATCATACTAAGCTTCAAAAACGTTGAGACGCCTCCGTGGTCTAATGGTAGAGCGTCCTCCCGAAGAGCGGCAGGTCCGTTGTTCGATCCCCGGCCGCTTCATACTAAAATAGGTTAAAAGATGGTATTTGTTGTACCCTGTCTGGCGCTCGGCATTAAGGGACAAAAACAAGGACTGGTCGGCTCGGAGTCAGTATACTGTGTCTGAGTGGGGTACTCATCTTCAACTGCGGCATGGTTTCTTGGTGGGATAGCACTATAAATCGACATCAGTCCGGAAAAAAGCAGCCACACACACACTCGTGCATGCACATCGCTATATAATTACAATAGTGTAGTTTTACGCCGTTTTTAATAGTATTTAAGTCCTATCAATGCGTGTCAGAAAGTCCCCCAAAACAGTTCCAACTGATGCATGTCTTGGACGTTTACCACTTTTGTGAAAACCACAAACCTGGAAACATAGTCAGGACGAATCTTGGGTTCGAATCCACGATCACCGAGTTATGGCACACCTAGAACGCAACTCTGCACAGCGAATTGCATCATATTACACGACTAGGCGGCCTATGCTCACTCTTCAAAATGAGAAGTTTAGACTTACTTTTTAAACAATAACATGCTATACTTATATATTGTTGACAATAACAACATTCGCCTTTTCTTAAAATATGGCTAGAAAATGGAGTTGTATTTTGAAGTTCGTTTGAAGAACAAGGACAAGTTCTTACGGTTAAACAACTTCTCGAAAACATTTTTGTTTCTTTTATTTGTTGTTTAACGCCGCGCTCAGCAAAATACCAGCTATATTACGGCGATCTGTAAATAATCAAGTATGGACCAGATAATCCAGTGATTGACATCATGAGCATCGATTAATGCAATTGGGATAAGGTGACATGCATCAACCAAGTCAGCGAGCCTGACCACCCGATCCCGCTCATCGCCTCTAACGACAAGCATAGTCGCTTTTGGCGGCACGCATGGGTTGCTGAAGACCTATTCTACCCCGGATCTTCACGGATCACTTCTCTATGACAATAAAGGCGACGTTTCGGTGTAGATTCTGACGTGAGTAAGGTGAAGTATGGGGTTATATACATAATAGATGGTTTCTGTTTATACAATAAATGGGATGGATGTACAAACATAATGACGTTTAAACATACTTACATGCTTCCCCTTCACTGATCCATTCAAATAACCTTCACGGTTTAGATTTACATCGTCCGCCTCAGATATCAACCTTGAAGCAGTCCTGAAAAAATAAACGCGAGTGTGCCTCATTCCTTGTGGGCTAGCACTATACAACCGGTATTTGTCCGGACTAGTTTACACGCACATACGGAGACGCACGCACGCACGCACATACATACATGCACATCCGTATATATACGTGCAATAATCTTGAACGACATGACGTTAAACCCAATTCCACCTCGCCTAATCTTTTGATCTTTTTAAAGTACACCTAGTATCTATGTTACAGATACGGCACCCGGAACTATGATTACTTCAAGAAGCAGGGCATCCCTGGACCAACACCCTACCCTATTATTGGAAGCAGCCTTAGCTTTGTAGGTTTAGATAATCACTTAAACACTTCCTATGTGTAACATGGCTTTTGCAGATGTACATGTCGTGTTGTTAAGATGAGCAATTCCGCAAAATATATGTTACATAACGTAAACTATAACAATTTCGTTAATCAGGCATGACATAACTGGCATAGCGTCCGTGACCGTTCATGGCATTTACGTCAATAATGGTAACAGAAGTACATGGTGAATGGCTAGGTTCGTAAGGGCAATCCTAGTCTGGTCTCTACAGACGTGTGTCTAATGCCTCGCGTTTATATTCACTTAAAAAGCATCAAGCGCCCTCTGCGTCACGAGGCTTTGAAACACCTGTGTACTGGCCCTAAATCTATGGCATATAAACCATGTTCTGAAGGAATAATTCCTTGTCGAAAATAAGGACAAGAATCACGACATTTAGAAAGTGGTATTCATAACAATTCATTGTGTGTATTATTGACAAAATTGATGCTTAACTTAAACATGCTGCTGCAGGGTGTCATGGACAGCTGTTGGTTGTTTGGTTGGTTGGTTGTTTAACGCCGCACTCAGCAATATTCCAGCTGTATGACGGCGGTCTGTAAATAATCGAGTCTGGACCAGACAATCCAGTGATTAATATCATGAGCATCGACCCACGCAATTGGGATCGATGACATGCATCAACCAAGTCAGCGAGCCTGACCACCCGATCCCGTTAGTCGCCTTTTACGACAAGCATAGTCACCTTTTACGGCAAGCATGGGTTGCTGAAGACCTATTCTACCCCGGATCTTCACGGGTCCATTGTTGCTACAAACAACTGTTTTGGCCTAACCATGAATTCCTGTAATGAGATTATCAAGAACGTGTATCCGCCTCAATCCTCGTCCTCCTGCATCCAGTGAGACATCTGATGCGCTCATGGGGTAGGTTTTTGCCATTCTCGGTGCTGAGCCTGTATCACTTCCTGTCTATTGGATGCTGTTGGGTCCACCTTCTCTACCTGGCGTCCCAGGATGTCCCAGATGTCCACTTGTATACTTTCTGCAAACATGTATATCATTGTACTCTCAGTTGGAAATATCTCAAGACTTACAAATACAATTTTAATAAGCCATATAAATAATCTTCATTTCTTACAATAAGCATTTAAAGAAGTGACAAACCAAACTTAGTTTTCAAAATAATAACAAAGAACAATGACACGTTTCCCTAATTTCAAGAAAAATATAACTTGATAAATAGCTCTGGACCCTTCATAAACATGAATAACTTATTTATGAATAAATCATTCTGAAAAGCCCCAATGTGTAACTTCTGATATTTGCCCCTTTTCAGACCGCCATCATATAGCTGGAATATTGCTGAGTGCGGCGTAAAACAAAAAAACAACAACCCTTTTCAAATTACACTGACAAATACAAAAACGTATCTGCTCAAAATGTTTCTATTTAGAGGACCCGTGAAGATCCGGGGTAGAAAAAGTCTCCAGCTGCAGCAACCCATGCTTGCCGTAAAAGGCGACTATGCTTGTCGTAAGAGGCGACTAACGGGATCGGGTGGTCAGGCTCGCTGACTTGGTTGATGCATGTCATCGATCCCAGTTGCGTGGAGGGTTTCACCGAATTGGTAATCGTCTGAGACCTGCATCACTTCGGGCGTTCCTCCCATATGAAGCTGACACGCCGCGATATAACTGGAATACTGTTAAAAGCGGCGTTAATCCCAACTCACTCACTCACTCAATTGCGTGGATCGATGTTCATGATGTCAATCACTGGATTGTCTGGTCCTGATTCGATAATATACAGACGGCCGTCATATAGCTGGAATATTGCTGAGTGCGGCGTTAAACAACAAACCAATCAATCAATTCTATTTAGAGCACATGAGAAAAGTGTAGATAAACATCCCGGATACCCATTAATTTTGAATCCGGCCCCGAATCTTCCAGAAACCTGCATTATGTTCATTCATTTGTTTTGTTTTGTTTGTTGTTTAACGCCGCACTCAGCAATATTCCAGCTATATGACGGCTATATATCATTCTATGTTTCTATTCCTACAGTTGATCTTCTCCAAGTTCTACTCCTGGAAACAGCAGTATGGAAACATCTTTGGGTAGGTTCACCTCTCATCTCATTAACATACAGAGCAGCGTTTAGATCACACACATGGAAACGATCGGGCGGACAGGCTCGCTGACTTGGTAGAAGAAAGTATTATCTTACATCATACTTTCGATTGAGCGACCCATGCTTGCCGCAAAAAGGCGACTATGCTTGTCGTAAGAGGCGACTAACAGGATATGGTGGTCAGGCTCGCCGTCTTGATTGATGCATGTCTTCTAGACCCGTGAAGATTCCGGGGTAGAATAGGTCTTCAGCAACCCATGCTTGCCGTAAAAGGTGACTATGCTTGTCGTAAAAGGCGACTAACGGGATCGGGTGGTCTGGCTCGCTGACTTGGTTGATGCATGTCATCGATCCCAATTGCATGGATCGATGCTCATGACATTAATCACTGGATTGTTTGGTCCAGACTCGATTATTTACAGACCGCCGTCATATAGCTGGAATATTGTTGAGTGCGGCATAAAAAAAAAAAAAAAAAAAAACTTTCACAAGCATAGTCGCCTTTTACGACAAGCAGTAGTGTTGAAGACCTAATCTGATCCGGATCTTGTGAGGTTTAATCTGGGATTTGAACCCATGATTTTAGGATTCATGCACGCATTGGGTCCCAACTCTGGACAGTGAATTGTGGCGACTGAGAGCACTGGGTCAACCTTAAAGACACCTTCACATTTCGGATGCTCAATTGCCGTTTTCTGTGTCTTATTGATAAGTGCGAATACTGTGAAGATTCCGGGGTAGAATAGGTCTTCAGCAACCCATGCTTACCGTAAAGAGTGACTATGCTTGTCGTAAAGGGCGACTAACGGGATCGGGTGGTCAGGCTCGCTGACTTGGTTGACACATGTCATCGATCCCAATTGCGCGGATCGATGCCCATGATATCAATCACTGGATTGTCTGGTCTAGACTCAATTATTTACAGACCGCCGTCACATAGCTGGAATATTGTTGAGTGCGGCGTTTAACAACAAACAAACTAACATCCTCCCCGACGAGGTTTTGTTTGAGGTAGTTTTTGGTGTTCTTATTATCATGCCATGTGTTGTTTCGTTGCAATAGGATCTTTATAGGAAAGGTCCCAGCCTTAGTCATTTCCGATCTGGACATTCTAAATGAGGTCTTTGTCAAAAGTTTCAACGTTTTCAGAAACCGGATGGTAAGCATTGTCACTCATTAATCATTTTGCCCATTAACCTGCAACAATGCTATGTTATCAGGAAGGACATAGAGATTGGTTGGCTTGTTGTTTTACGCCGCACTCAGCAATATTCCAGCTGTATGACGGCGGTCTGTAAATAATCGAGTCTGGACCAAACAATCCTGTAATTGATATCATGAGCATCGATCGACGCAATTGGGATACGATGACATGCTTCAACGAAGTCAGCGAGCCTGACCACCCTATCCCGTTAGTCGCCTCTTACGACAAGCATAGTCGCCTTTTACGGCAAGCATGGTTTGCTCAAGACCTATTATACCCCGGATCTTCACGGGTTGGATATGAAGAAAATAGGGCGTCGGGGAAGATCAGTGGTTAAAGTGTTCGCTCGTCATGCCGATGACCCGGTTTCTCCCGCCGTGATATTGCTGGAATATTGCAAAAACGGCGTAAAACCATACTCATCCACACTAAAGGAAATAATCGTCGAAAGTGTACCCGTCACAAACACATTCCAAAGTCCACCTACAAAACACATACCGGTTTTTATGGTACAGGTAAAAATAGGACATCGGACATTTTGTTTGTCACTGATGCGTCAAAATTTGAAATATTACCGATGGCTTGAATGTTGTAACCTTGATCATACAATTTTGTGTGAGTGGTATGAGCAACTATATGAATTTATACAACTGAATCAACGTTAAGAGGTCGTGCAAAAACTCACTCACCCCGACAGATAGTGATTACAGTTGACGCGTGTTCAATAATAAAAGTTTCTGTTCTCATTTCTTTTCCAGAAATCCATTATCATACCGTACCCATTCAGTTTGTCTGTGTTTTACCTTGACAACGCCCAGTGGAAGAGAGTCAGAGACATCATCTCCCCAACCTTCAGCAGCGCCAAACTGAGGATGGTGAGTCCCGCTCCTTGTCTTTGGGTGAGGCATCTCATTGTCTCTTCCTATACATATAGGACATATGATGAGGGTCGGTGGATGGTATGCTTGTGCTATTAATGTGCATGCCACGTCGCAAATGGTATTATCAATATGAGCTCATGTCATTGTAAAAATGATGATACTGTATGCTACAATTAAAATTGTTTCCCGTTTATTTTGGTCTCCAGGACAAGTAAACGACAGAAACGTTGTTGTCAACTTTAAAGGTCGTATATTTTTGGGGTTTAACAATTCATCAATGCCTTACCATAACTGGGGAAAGCCCCGTAGTCCCGTAAAGGTCAGGTTTCGAGAGTCATCCAATCATGTCATTGTAAAGAGGATGATACTTTGAGCTGCATTTGGATTGGATGACAGAAGTCTTGGCCTTTCCCTGCCTATGAATATTTTTCTTCATACGCATTTGAAATGGTGAAATGGATACTATTTGTCAGAGCAACTTAATTCTTACTCTTTTTCTGCATTCTGCTAAATTGGTACGTCCAGTGGTCCACGTGTCACAGTGGGTTATGATGTTATGACATTGAACAACGACGGTTCCTATAGAATTGGGGGCACGGGTGATCCAGTCGTTTAAGGAGGCGCATCGAGTTGTGTCCCTTGTGCACGCCGGAAACCTATGATTTTGGGTTTCAATCCCGGTGTGCCCCGATTATGTTTCTAGGTTTGTCAGCACTGTACCCGTGCTCGTGTGTGTCACCAAAGTGGTAAACGTCTGATACACGATTCACTTCCGAATTTCCTCCCACATTGAGCTGACACGCCGTCTTATAACTGGAACACTGTTCAACTTCACTCACTCGCATAATCACACTATCTATCAAATAGCGAAACAATGAATTCATTGTAGTGGCATTAGATGTACAGAGAGTAAACTCGTCTATTCTTAGATGTGTGTTGCCATCAACGATTGCGCAAAGACTCTTTCTAACAACTTATCAAATGCGGCTGAGAAGAAAAAAGGGGTTACTGTCAAAGAGTAAGTATTTTTTGTATCATGCTAAACTTTGTGAAACAATTGATTTGCCTTTGCATGGGTTTGTGACGGGTGCACATAAAGTCCTGATTTTCTTGTGATTACTGAAAGTTGTGTCGCTTTTATTTAATCATATGCTCGACCATATGCTTTTGAAGGGACTTTTTTAAATTATTTATGTCTTGTAGTGAGTGAGTGAGTGTGTGAGTGAGTGAGTCAAGATTTAACGTCAAATCGGCAGTATTTCAGCCATATCGTGACGAGAAGTACATTTATAATACATAAATGTATACAATATAAAAAGCTGTCAACGATGGACAGTACAATAACTAGAATATCACAGAGTCTATTTTAAACTAAATTTTAGTTGAGAATATATAAAAGTCATAATTATTAGTGAACAACACAATATAAAAATTGGCTAGAGACCGTCAGTTACTAGAGGGAGATCACCATACTAGGGACCATGGGGACTTACAGTGCCTTTGCTTCCTGCATGGACCCTGGCAGGATTTATATCATCCCTTCAGTCAATGGCGACAGTGTACCAATTTAGCCAGAAATTAAAATGACGAATATTCTACGTTTAAAAGCCTGGCATGCAGAAAAATACTTCGAATGATATGGGACTTACATACCCTCTTAGGGGGGACAATAATTTTACGCTACTTCAACCACCCTCGAGGGTACAGCCACTAACAATCTAAGTTCTTAATTCGCCCTACCAATTTTTAAAATAATTCAGCAACTAAATCAAAATTTATGTATAAGTTCTATTTCATTTAAAAAACATAGTATTAAATGAGAGTTAACTTTACTAAAAAGGTCCTTCAATGTTTTTACACTATTTATCCCTTGTAATGGAAAAATCAATGACTATATCATCGTCAGTTTTTATTTAATATCGTTGGCTGGTTGGTTTGTTGTTTTACGCCGCACTCAGCAATATTCCAGCTATATGACGGCGGTCTGTAAATAATCGAGTCTGAACCAGCGATTGATATCATGAGCATCGATCCACACAATTGGGATCGATGACATGCATCAACCACCCTGAATATAGGAATTTAGATCAGATATATAGATGAGGAATTATATTTCATCTATAAGATGAACACACTTTCCAATCACTACATCCCTTTTGACTTATACTGAGTAGTACAAAATCTGGAAAGGTTTCGCATGAAATAGAGTGAACTTGCAGGATATTGCACGAGCTTCAATAATCAAGTTTACGTCCCAAGTGAAATTATTTCACGGACATACACTTTATATCAAATTGAAGGGAGTTTAATATTATAATTATGATCACACCTACAGCTTCAGTATCGTTCATATAGCTACGAAAGGTCAGGGGTGCAAGGTTTGCTGACCAAACAACAGCGGAGGTCAATGATGTCATACCGCTGTACAAAATAGTTTCCCGTATATATTTTCTAAAGTACATGTAAACGACAAACAGATTTGTTGTTGTTGTCAACTTGAAAGGCTGTATATTTGTGTTCTAACAATTCACTAACGCCTTACCATAACTGAGAAAAGCGAAAGTAGTCCCGTTTCGGTCAGGTTTCACAATCATCCAATCAAACGCCTAGAATAACTGAAAAGTGATAAGTGCACACTGTGCAGGTATTAGAAATATGTGCACCGATATGCTTACCCTTGGGGTAATATATTGTTTATACTGCATATTATAACTTAGCCCGTGAAGATTCCGGGGTAGAATAGGTCTTCAGCAACCAATACTTGTCGTAAGAGGCGACTAACGGGATCGGGTGGTCAGGCTCGCTGATTTGGTTCACACATGTCATCGATCCCAATTGTGTGGATCGATGCTCGTGATATTAATCACTGGATTGTCTGGTCCAGACTCAATTATTTTACAGACCTGTCATATAGCTGGAATATTGCTGAGTGCGGCGTTAAACAACAGACAAACAAACAAACATAACTTAGCATACGCATGCCTTTAGATATTCCCTACCATGTCCCAAGAGCTGCCAGTGCTTTCAACGTCCGTCCTGCATTTGGTGGAGTGAATGTGTGAGTGAATAGTGTTTTACACTGATCTTAGCAATTTGCTAGCTCCTTGTGGAAACACAAAGACAAGTAAGTCGCGTCACCCATTTACACACATGGAAGAATCTTAATTACGTCCTTGGTGTGACGGAGGACGCTTAATCATCAGGTTAAACCCTTTGCCATACCCCGAAGACGTAGATCGTTACGAACGACGTCGGTACTTGCCCCAAACTCGATTGTTTGTTTGTTGTTTAACGCCACACTCAGGAATATGATGGCGGTCTGTAAGTAATCTAGTGATTGACATCATAAGCCTCGATCCATGCAATTGGGATACCATTACATGCGACCCGTGAAGATTCAGGGGTAGAATAGGTCTTCAGCAACCCAGGCGACTACTGGGTTGCGACTATGCTTGTCGTAAAAGGCGACTAACGGGTGGTCAGGCTCGCTGACTTGGTTGATGCATGTCATCGATCCAAATTGCGTGGATCGATGCTCATGATATCAATCCTGGATTGTCTGGTCCAGACTCAATTATTTACAGACCGCCGTCATATAGCTGGAATATTGCTGAGTGCGGCGTTAAACAACAACCCAACCAACCAACCATTCCATGCATCAACCAAGTCAGCTCACCACCCAATCCCGTTAGTCGCCTTTAACGGCATGCATGGGTTGCTGAAGACCAAATCTAACCCAGATCATCACGGGTTCCGCTGAAATAAAACTGGAATGATGTTTACTTACATTATATAATAAACTTATTGGGTCACTAACAAGAACGGCTCCATGATTAGCACAGTGTCGTTATTATATATCACAGAAAGCCGTGTGGATGTGTCCTTTGACTGCAACTATTTAATTATCACACATTAACCTTTCAGATACTTTGGAGCGTACACGATGGATGTCATTTCAAGAACTGCCTTTGGTATAAAGGTCGATTCTCAAAACGAGTTTGATAACCCTTTTGTCGCTCATGCTAAAGAAATGCTTGAACAATCAAACATGAGAAGATTGTCATCAATGCTAGCAGGTACCTTGTGCATTTTTTTAAGAAATGTGTATTTTCATTCTACCGCCTTGTATATAAATATACACACCGAAAAAAATTTAGAACCCCTTCGATGATAAATTCTAACATGTCACTATTTTTTTTACTGTGATGGCAATGATGATTATGATTGATTTGTTGTTTAACGCCGCACTCAACAATATTCCAGCTATATGACGGCGGTCTGTAAATAATCGAGTCTGGACCAGACAATCCAGTGATTGATATTATGAGCATCGACCCACGCAATTGGGATCGATGACATGCATCAACCAAGTCAGCGAGCCTGACCACCCGATCCCGTTAGTCGCCTTTTACGACAAGCATAGTCACCTTTTACGGCAAGCATGGGTTGCTGAAGACCTATTCCAACCCAATCTTCACGGGTTGTATATCATAAAGTTGTGTAGTACACCACCGTGTACAAATATTTGATTTTTATTCTAAATAATGTAATTATTTGTATGCTTTGGGATTTGTTTGTAACGTGTGACTGATAAACATTTTGCTAAATTCAACTAATTTGATAACTTGTGTTTTTTAATAATTGAAGCACCAATGGGACATTCAGATCAGAATATATGTTCTTATACAAAATCATTTCAATTATTGTTCATTGTTGAATAACGTTTATTTTTTAATTTAAAAAATAATGATTCATGACACTAGGTCACAACCATGCGTGGACAGAGATACAATTTTCAAAATAATGTCAGAACTGCGTTAGTGCGTCAAGTTGGCCCATACTACAATTACACAAACGTATTGTCGTTCCTTGTCATGGTCACTTAAGCCATGACTTTGCATCTCGCCTTGTCAGCATTGGGGCATCTCAGTCAAGGGGTGGTTAGCCAATCAACACTAACTCCGAATTGTCTCCATCAGCATTTATACTCGCATAATAAAGAAACGCAACGCCAGCTTTATACTCACATTAGTTTTAATTACAATCTCAGTCCATCTTTCAAAACATGGCAGGATCAGACCGACCAGGCTCGTCACTGAGTATGGACAACTTATAACGATCAGGGTTCAACTCGATCGGCTGCAAACCGCGCTCTCCTCTCCTAATGTTGACGGCATCAAAGTATTCGGGTCTGGCCTGTCTTTGTCACATGTCCTCATAGATCATCTTAATTGGTCAAGAACAGCATCACACCATGAACTCGTATTTGTGTCGTGATCCGAAAACTACCGGAACCTACTACCGATTTAAATATGTCTGTTCATTAATTGGCGACAACACCACCGAAGCTACATGTATCTCGAAATACCCTGTGACTGTCATCGCCCTATTGATTTCCTGATTGTTTGCGTCAACACTTCGGCTTTCTGTCGCCATCGTTTTTAAAGCTACAACCATCAATTTAAAGGTTGATTTTGTTATAATTTTCTGAGGTTTTGGGGATGCATTTTTACCTTATGACAATATTGCCTTGATTGTGAAATGAAAATAGGATATGCATCTATTCATTTACAGGTTATAGCACACAACTCTTTTTAGAGGTGCCCTTAATATAAATTTGCTAATATGATCACACGAATTTTATCACTTGTTCCACATATACATATTCATGTATGTACTTACGGATATATTTTCCTAATTTTACAGGTTCAGTTCCTAGACTTGCACGAACCTTAAGGAAGCGAGGGTTTGGAATCTTTCCACAACACGTCATGACCTTTTTTCAAAGAACCGTCCGGGAAATGATCAAAGAGCGACAGGACAACACACATGAACAACGACAGGTTAGGCATTACATTTTGGGCCAAATGTGGTGGTTATAACTCTTGCTGAGGGGACACGCATAATAACATTTGACAACCAAAGCTGGTCTAGAGCTAGTGTTGGTTATCGTCGCGTTGGTAATATCATGCTGCGCATTTCCATTAATATCAAATACATAATATACATTATCACTGTTAGTGACCCGTGAAGACCCTGGGTAGAATAGGTCTTCAGCAACACATGCATGCCGTGAAAGGCGACTAAGGGGGTCGCTGACTTGGTTGATGCATGTCATCGTGTCCCAATTTCGTGGATTCATGTTAATGATGTCAATCACTGGATTGTCAGGTCCACACACGATTATTGTGGGCCGCTGTTATTATGCTGGAATATTGCTGAGTGCAGCGTTAAAGAACAAACAATCAATCAATATTACAGTTAGTATTATGCTTATACAACAGAACTACCTAAACTTGCCTTAAGCAAAGACGATGTTTTAAAGAATTATACAAAAGTATTTTCGCATTGACAGCAGAGACCTGACTTCCTGCAATTATTGGTGGACGCTGAGATAGAAGCGGGTGCAGACAATAATGTTCACGCAGCCAATGGTCAGTTCACAGAGAAAGATTCAGTCAGACGTGAGTACTAATTACACTCTTGAGTGAGTGAGTTGTTTGGAACAGTATCGTGATTATATCAGCTGAAAGAGGGAGGTAGGCCTAAAGTTGTGCATATCGTAAATGTTTACCTTTGACGTGAATTACGATAGTTCTGGTAACAAATCAGAGATCATACTCGGAGCAACCGTGAAGATCCGGGGTAAAATAGATCTTCACCTACCCATGCTTGCCGTGAAAGGCGACTATGCTTGTCGTAAGAGGGTGGATTGGGTGGTCAGGCTCGCTGACTTGGATGATGCAAGTAATCGATCCCAATTGCGTGGATCGATGTTCATGGTGTCAATCACTGGATCGTCTGGTTCAGACTCGATTATTTACAGACCGCCGTCATTTAGTTGAGTGCGGCGTTAAACAAGAAACAAGCCAGCACATCACATCTGTGAAGATCCGGGGTACAATAGGTCTTCAGCAACCCATGCTTGCCGTAAAAGGCGACTAACGGGATCGGGTAGTCAGGCTCGCTGACTTGGTTTATGCAAGTAATCGATCCCAACTGCGTCGATCCCTATTGCGTGGATCGATGGTCATGATGTCAATCCAGTGAATGATATCGTGATTATCAATCCAAGCAATCGGGATTGATGACATGACGTGAATGACCCGATATCTGCGCACCTTTTACTATATTTGCAGGTCTGTCGACAGATGAAATAGTTGCCCAAAGCATACTTTTCTTCATTGCCGGATACGAAACGACGGCTTCAACGCTTGACTTTTTGTCCTACAGCCTTGCCACGAACCCGGATGTCCAAGAAAAGGCACACAGTGAAATCGAACAAGAGTTGGAAAATGTCAGTAGTAATCTTATCACATTAATGTCGGGGGGGGGGGGGGGGGGGGGGATGTTTAACGCAGCGCTCAGCCTATATGACGGCGGTCTGTAAATAATCCAGTCTGGACCAGACGATCCAGTGATTAATATCATGAGCATCGATCCACGCAATTGTGATACGATGACCTGCATCAACCAAGTCAGCCTGCCTGACCACCAGATGCCGTTGGTCGCCCCTTACAACAAGCATAGTCGCCTATTACGGCAAGCATGTGTTGCTGAAGACCTATTCTACTCCGGATCTACATTCATGTGGTAGTTCTAATCATCAGTATTAATATACTTATAATAGCAAAATCACGACAGAGAGTACCCGAAGTGGGCTTCACACATTGTACCCTTGTCGGCGTGAAGAGTGAACGCTTTAACAACAAGCAGGTTTTAAACCGGTGCAGCAGGTTTCTGAGAAATACTAATGGTGTACATACGCGCCTGAATGAGTGAGTGAGTTTGGTCTAACGCCGCTTTTAACAATGTTCCAGTTATATCACGGCGTGTCAGCTTAATGTGGGGGGAAAGCCCGACGTGATGCAGGTCTTAGACGTGAAACCCACGAGCACGGGTATAGTGCTGACAAACCTTGAAACATAATCCGGGCAAACCGGGATTCGAACCCACAATCATAGATTTCTCGTATCCAAGGGACGCGACCGTTGACGATTTCGCCACCCACACCCCCCACAAACGCGCCTGAGAGATACACTCAAGGCAAATATATAAAACACTTTGATAAAACAGAACACTCCTGTCGACTTTTTATACTCAATGAATTATCATGTATGCAATGCGAGAACAAGAAGGAATTTCAGAAATAAAACATGGTCATTTTAACTTTTCAGAAGTAAATCGATAGGCATACCATAGGGTTCGAAGTGTTAAATGAGATTCATCTTGAAACACTCGATAAATCTGCTACATTTTTTTCATCAGTCAGAGTTTTTTTTCCCCAGGAGGAACCAAATTACGACAACATAAAGAAACTGAAGTATCTGGACAACGTCATCACCGAGACGCTCAGACTCTACCCACCAGTTATTGCGTAAGTTTACAAAAATCGTAGGACCAGGTTGTTGCTTCTCAGGGATTTGTTTACTTGTTTGTTGTTTAGAGCCGCACTCAGCAATATTTTACCTATGACGGCGGTCTGGAAATAATCGAGTCTGGACCAGACAATCTAGTGATTGACATAATGAGCATCGATCCACGTAATTGGAATACGATGACATGCAGCAACCAAGTCGGTGAGCATGACCACCCGATCCCGTTAGTCGCCTCTTACGACAAGCATAGTCGCCTTTTACGGCAAGCATGGCTTGCTGAAGAATTTTTCTACCCTGGATCTCCACGCTCTCGGAACCTGTTCGGGCTGATAATCGAGACTGATTATTCTCAGGAGTTTTATATATATTTGATTGTATATACGTAGATCCCAGCTGTATTAAAAAGAGCCACCTTTTGTGAACTGATCTGAAACAGTACATGTGCTTGAATTGACATCAGTGTACTACTATATTTAAGGTTACATCGGAGAGCGTCTGAGACGTTTCAGATTAAGGGCTTGACAATCCCCAAGAATCAAACTGTCCTTATCCCCACGTTCGCCCTGCAAAGAGACCCTCGGCTCTTCAAGGATCCAGATTCCTTCAAACCAGAAAGGTAATACTTTGTTTGTTTGTTGGTTTGTTGTCTAACGCCGTCTGTAATTAACCCTGGCTGTACATAATCGAGTCAGGACCAGACAACCCAGCGATTGACATCATGATTGGCTGGTTTATTTGTTGTCGCCGCATTCAGCAGTGATTGATATCATGAGCATCGATCCACGCAATTTGGGTACGATGACATGCATCATCCAAGTCAACGAGCCTGACCACCTGATCCCGTTAGGCGCCATGCACTTACGACAAGCATGGGTTGCTGAAAATCAATTCTACCCGGATCTTCACGGGTAGAAAGGTAATACGCCCTCCACCAGACGTGGCTAATGGAGGATAAAGCTCGAGAAACCAAGGATTGGTTTTGGTTTGTTTGTTTCACGGGTCCCATCATTATGATAACAAAAAATCCCAACATACATGTAACTCCACTATCTCTCATTTCCATTTAATATGCAAACACGGATTACGAATGAAAACGTACTGAAGAAAGACTTCCGTCAATTTTAAGACAATATTTCCCTTTTTGTGAAGATATAAAACTGAAACATGATATTTTACTGATGCCAGTGATGTGAAAGGTTATTTCCCAATAAATCTTTTTCAGACATGATGAACAGTCCAATCCACTTTCCTTCCTAGCCTTTGGACATGGCCCGAGGAAATGTCTTGGAATGCGTCTAGCCCTGGTTCAGGCTAAAATAGCTCTGGTTCATGTTCTGAGAACTGTGAAGTTTGAACGAATGCCAGACACGCCGGTACGTTATATATCAGTTGGTTGGTTCGTTTGTTGTTTCACGCCGCACTCAGCAATATTCCAGCATTATTACGGCCGTCTGTAGTAAATAATCGAGTCTGGACCAGACAATCATCCAGTGATTGATTTCATGAGCATTGATCAACGCATTTGTGATCGATGACATGCTTCAACCAAGTCAGCGAGCCCGACCACGCGATCCCGTAGTCGGCTTTTTTTCGGCAAGCATGTGTTGTTGTAGACCAATCGCTATATGGATGGAATAATGCCGATGCGACGTTAAATTTTTTAACCCGGGTCTTTTATATTAGTAATATTATCTTCATTGTAATAGTCATGCTCGGTTGTAAACGATCTACTGGCGTCATCGAAAGTTGTGTAGTTCATTCGGATATTGTTTTATGCTAAAATCCACTGACGAAAAAAAATATTTATTCCAAAATAGACACCTTCCTGGATATGTAATTGAGTAGATTACATCTATCTAAAATACTATCACATCTTATATTTTGTGTTTAATCGAATATTCTTCGCGTTCTAACTTGTGGCTTCTTCTGCTACATATATTTCCGGATGTTACGTCACCATGATAAAATCTCGCTCCAAATCAGTTGCAGATATGACAGACTCACCAAGTTAGTTGTAGTTTTGTACGGCAAAAAACTGCATCACTTCGGGCTTTTCTCCCACATTAAACTGACACGCCGTGATATAACTGGAATACTGTTCCGAACGGCATTAAACCCAACTAAATCACTCACTAATGATATTCCCCATGACATCATATTCTTGACATATATGACATTTTCGTGGTATATTTTCATGACATCACCACAGGATATCATATTCACTTCATGCCCTCACAACATCATATTGATGACATCGCCGTTAAGTGGTGAATAATTCCTTTAGCATAATACACCTAATTATTGTCATGCTTTCATGACTAAATGTATAGATCATACTGTTTGTACAATACGTCTTGGTTTTTTTTCAGGACGTTTTGAAGTTTAAGAGCACCAACATGCTTCAGACAGACAAGGACATAATACTGAAATTATCTTCAAGATGCTGAAAAATGATGGAGAGGCACCAGCAAATAATGTATTCAAGATTGATATGGCAGACACCCGTGAAGATTCCGGGGTAGAATTGGTCTTCCGCAACCCATACGTGCCGTAAAAGGCGACTATGCTTGTCGTAAAAGGCGAGTAACGGTTGTCAGGCTCGCTGACTTGGTTGATTTATGTCATCGATCCCAATTGCGTGGATCGATGCTCATGATATCAATCACTGGATTGTCTGGTCCTGTCTCTATTATTTTACAGACCGCCGTCATATAGCTGGAATATTGCGGCGTTAAACAACAAAGAAAGAAATAAAGATATGGGAGGAACATTATGGATTACAGCCGATGGATTTGAATGAAATTAACTTGTCAATTTTCTTCAAGACATCACTGAGCACTTGAACAGGGGAAAAGGAAAACATTTTCTATCAATCGATGATTTTTACCATTTGGGTAAGGGTTCCTTGAGTGCAGACTAAGCGCTAGTACCATTTTAAAATATGATAGACAAGATATTTTTCAAATAAAAATCAGACATACATGTATGATAATCACCTGACAGGCATAGTTTCTTTTGCCCCTCAGTGTATATACTTTTCTCAATAAGGGTAACCAGAGCCCTCTTTTGTCAATTCGCAACCTAGTTGCGCAAGAATCAACCGCACATTCCAGTAGTTAAGTCAAGTTATTTAAATTTGGATTTCCGCGTGCACCGTCGTCATGTTGCTTAAATATTGCGACAAGCAGCACTAGACCCAGCTCATTCACTCATACGATGTCGACAACAGTTTGTGTTACTACCTAGCAACCAATACAGTTCTTCATACAAATGTTCATATTAATTACAGACTTTAAGACTTCTGTGAAAAGAGAACGATATACCTAATCTTAATCTTTGCGTCTCTAACATTCAAACATAATAAAAGCATGATCATATGGCTAATACGTATACCTTAGACCATATTCAAGTATCAGCGTACTGTCTAGATAATATGTACCAAATAAATATTAATGCTACATATACATATTTAGTTTATTTTTATTTCTTTGAATTGACTTGAATGAGTGACGGGTGATTCCGATAGGGCACATCATGCTTGCCCATTTCGTTAACACCTTTTGTCACAACTGGTTTTCAGTGATCTGTTCATATAGTATTTACTGCTATTGTGACTTTCACGCCAAATGGAATATTTTTCGGGAGATGCTCGAGGACACGCGAAGATCCGGGGTGGAATAGGTCTTCAGCAACCCATGCTTGCCGTAATAGGTGACTATGCTCGTCATTAGAGGCGACAACAGTGATCGAGTGGTCAGGTTCGCTGACTTGGTTGTTGCATGTCATCCTATACCAACTGCGTGCATCGATGCGCATGATATCAATCACTGGATTGTCAGGTCAAGACTCAATTATTTACAGACCGCCGTCATACAGCTGGATTATTGCTGAGTGCGGCGTTTAACAACAACAAACAAACAGCAAACAAACGTTGAGTATGTTCTGGTTAAAGATCATATTCATAGAGCACTTCATCTCGGTTTTTTTATTGTAAACCACAGGGCCATTGGAGCAATATTTTACAGGTGCTTCAGAGAATTTATAGATATACCTGATGTGAAATATGACGTGTAGAATGTGTTGAGAGCAGAGATGTTTTAAAGTTAGTGTTGCTTTGAGCAAAAATTAAAACAGTAATATGTGAAATATACTGAGTGAAATAATTATGGAATGGAATTAAGTATGGAATGCGTTGAGTGATTGCATTATTGAAATACAACTGTGTTTCCTGCATTATTTCAGAACCTTATTTCAGAACCTTGTTTCTTCTGGCAGCCTGCGCGTCTGGGTCAATTGCACACACACCATCAACAGAAAACAACCATATCTTTATCTGTTTGTCTTCGAAAGGCTACAGGGACATCATCACAGGGCATTTTGAAAAGAGTATTTCTAGGTTGGTGTGCCCTTCAGATCCTACATTGATGAGAAAGGTTTCATATTGACTAGTATTGTGCACAACAACCGTTGATTATTGTTGGTTGGTATGTTGTTTAACGCCGCAATATTCCAGCTATATGACGGCGGTCTGTAAATAACCGAGTCTGGACCAGACAATCCAGTGGCTGATGTCATGAACATCGATCCACGCAATTGGGACCTATAGTCTAGTTGTTTTTGTTAGATCCCCTATCCTATCCTTACACTTTGCAGAAGTATTGGACATGTGTCTCTAATGGACAACTCTTTGTCCTGATAAGAGAGAATATAATTTCAGTGATATACTTCCAACTGGAGACAATGTGTTTAAATTACTTGAAACAATATCTGTGTCCCAGCTCACCTAGCATCTTGGAAGTGCAGGTCTCAACTGAAAGAAACCCTTTCAACTATCTTACAAGAATAGGATGAGTCCCTATCGTGTCTCAAGTTTCTCTGAAAACACTTGTTGATATATCCGATCTGGCGGCATTAAAAGAACTATAACCTTATCCTTTATCACAGTCATAAAGTCTATAACCACTCCTATAGGTTGTGCAAAGGGATATGGACATCGTCCACAACAATATTCCAGATACTGTCTGATGAAAGGGCTATTCCAGATACTGTCTGATGAAAGGGCTGTACTGCTGCTTAGTGGGATTCCTCCGTGACTGCATGATGATCCATGCACCCCTTCTCGAAATGCCTTGCTCCTGAATGACATCCCGGACATTCCCACAGTCTCGTCTTGGGCAAGCTGTGAGTCTTCGCATCCACTTGTGGCCAGGGGAGGGTACTTCGCCATCTGGGAATAATGTATTGACAATCAATAAGCATGCGAAACTCGGAAAGCGATACTTGTGTTGTCCACATTGATACGACAATTATTCCTTCTGCTATTTCACTGATGATTTTCTGGATACACCTTCCAACCCAATTAAATGGAGGAAAATGATAGCAAAATTGTTCTACCGCTATTACCCCTAGTTCTCTTTTCCAAGATTAATATCTCTCAAGCTGAAAGTTAACTCCAGAAGCAAATAGATGAATATTTGGTGATCCCCACAAACAAACATCTTCTCTGAATTAGGAGTGTTTTTAATGTCCACACTGAAGAGCTGTGGTCCTTTCTGGATTCTCTATCAGCATCTTTATTCGAGACCCCCGGTAAATGAGATGGTGTAGGTTCTACTACACCAAATCAGAACCAGTTTGGACAGTGCGGTTTTCGTAGGGAGCCTTCAGTGTAGATCGAGAGATATCTGCAGGCTGTGATTGGAGGATATTCTGTAAGATTTTTATGTCTTTCAAATGTACATCCATCCGGTTATTGAAACTGACCATGTTTTTCTATATTTAGTACTGTCTTTTTCAACATGATGACTTATGCTGAATGTGACCACAGCTATTTTCAAGTAGGTGACATTTGGTGCGAAACTGGGGGTGGTGTGTTTAGCTTCCGGTACTCGGAAAAGGAGCTGACTAAGCTAGTCATTTTTATTTTTTTTATTGCTGCTCTAAGGCCAAACTGTGCACACACATACAGGTAATAGCTGTTGAATGCTTAGTTATTTAAAAAGAAATCATAACGTTACTATAGAAGTCTATGGGAAAACATTTGGTTGTGTGTAACCTGTAAGCCAAATATCTTAATGTCTACCAATATGCAGTCCTGACATGAACCAATGTTCTGCCAACTCTACTGCTGTCATTTCAAGACAAGTAATGTGCTTTTCAGTTTCCTGCTCTGACCACTGCCGTAAAAGGCGACTATGCTTGTCGTAAGAAGCGACTAAAAGGATCGGGTGGTCAGGCTTCGCTGACTTGGTTTGATGCATGTCATTGTATCTCAATTGCGTGGATCGATGCTCATGATATGAGTCACTGGATTATTTACAGACCGTCATATAGCTGGAATATTGCTGAATGTGGCGTTAAACAACAAACCAAG